ATGTTTAACCTTGTAGCTGTGGGTGGCAAGAGGGAATGCCGCAGCAAGGAAGGACGTCCCACTGCAGAGGAAGAACCAGAAGGACTTCTGAGAAACTTACATTCATCTGGGCCATTTGTTACAGTCACAGACATGTCATTAGAGGTCACTTCTGTGTTGTCGAGCAGTGTGATAATGACTGCTCAAACTTGTTGAGTACATTCAGGCCAAGTTTTATTATATTGTAATTTCAGAATAATCCCTCTTTTTAAAAGATTAAAGGGGGAAAATATTTACCTACAACATCCACAAAGGTGACTCAGTTCCCACTGATAGGTCCTGGGGGCATTGGTGTTCTGACATTAACTTTTGTCTATTTATTTGTTTATTTTTGTTTTTAACATTTACTTACATATATTTGTGGGGTACAGCATGTTTCAATACAGGCATAGACTGCACAGTGATTCACTTAGGGCAGACAGCACGGTTTTGTGCCCATTAGTCCACCAGTTCCACGCACCTGGCCCACCCGGCCTCTGGTCACCACTATTCTACTCTATACTTCCATGAGAACCAGATTTTCTTCTAGGTTTCACATATGAGTGAGACTATGCAGTATTTGTCTTTCTGTGCCTGGCTTACTTTACTTAACATGATGGTTTCCACTTCCATCCGTGTTGCTGCAAATGACAGGGTGTCATTTCTCCTTACAGCTGAGTAATATTCCGTTTGTATATATACCACAGTTTTTTTAATTCAGATGCTAGTGAGTCTTTTTTGGGCTTAGTTCTTCTTTCTCCACACCTGTGGTTTATGGCCCTGCTTTGGCATTGTGGCTGGTGTGTAGACTGTTGGTTTTGATTCTTTTACTTTTCTGACTCACATTTAAAAATAAATGCTTTATTTTTAGCATAAACGATGAAGTTATCACCTACACCCAAGAGTATTACCTTGTGGTTTTCCTTATGCATATAACTTTTATAGTGTTGATTGTAAGTTCTTAAGGAATTTAGAGAGGTTTAGAATGGGCCAGTTCCTTGGATTTGTTTTTGTCTTATCTGACCACGTCCCTTCTTGCTCTGATTAACCTCTCCCTAGAATGTGACCCTATTTGCTTCACTCAAATACAACATTTGTTTTGCATCTGTGTGTACAGAGACCTTTGTGGACTGCTGTGGGGACATGAAACTGCAGGGGTACTTGCAGTTCTGTAGGCATTTCTATTCTGTATTCTTTGGTAAAGCAGTGGAGCGGTGGACAGTTTTATCAGCAGCTCCTCTTCCGTGGCCTCCTGTTGGATGCTGACAGTATTGACTAGCTTTTGGGGTGAGGGTAGGGAGCTGGCCCAGCCTGACCCGGCTCTGTGCGATCCTCAGGGTTGGATATAGAATGGCATTATTGAATTAATTAAAAATCCACTTCAGATTTGTAGACAAAAGAAAGTAATAGGTCCCCTGATATTTTTGTGCTTCAACCCAATTGATGTATTTAGAAATAGCAGGATTTATTTGCAGCTATTATTTCCTTGGGGACAGATTACAAATATATTTATTTATCCACTCCTGTTTATACAGACTGTGAGTTATAAGGTGACCTCTATCTCAGCAAGATAAATTCCAGCCTCATCTAGTGCTGTATAGCTAGAGTGGATATTGAGATTTGTTTTCTTTAGGACACAGGGGAAGCCCCATCTCTCACTTGTAAGATTGTGGTGAGTGGGTTATAAAACTGCCAGACACCTGTTCAAAAGGGGGTGTTGCTCATCTTTATTGAGTAGGAATCAGGTTCTGATCACCTGCAGGGCAGTTTTGGTTTTGCACACAATTCCAAAATCATCAGCTCACTACCAATAACCAGTAAGCTGTGTGCTCTTGGACACGGGAGGTGGGTGCCAACAAAGACCTACAGGGTACTCACTGGAGCCCTGTGCTCTTGGACACGGGAGGTGGGGGCCAGCTGTGACCCATAGGGTACTCTCGGTGGCCCCGTGATGTGACTCCAGCAGCGAGAGGCCACATTTCCTGCAGATAGCCCTGCTGTGTTTAGGATGACTGATTGCCTCCATTGCTCTCCAGTGCTTCAATTCATACTGCTTAGAAGATCAAAGCAATGGAATGGGAATTTTTTTTTTTGCTTCGTGTACATTTAAGCAGAACCACAGAGGCTCGTTGCTTCTCCCTTGGAAAAGCAATTTAGCTTGCAGAAAATAATTAAATCAGCAGTATCTTACAGTAATTAGAAATTTTGAATGGGGGAGGGTTAATTATTTCTATCAGATTTCAGTTGGCCAATAAAATTCTCAAGGATAGCATGCAAACAGTTGCCGAGTTAATTCACCGTCCTCAGCTTTCAACATTGTTATCTTTCCCCCTGCAGGATCATGCGGATTTGCGAAGCCATTTCTTCACAGTTGGGATGAAGCTAGAAATGGTGGATATGAGTGAACCCTTTCATATCTGTCCTGCATCAGTGACCAAGGTGGGTTCTCCTCCCTTGCTCTCTGCTTCAGTACCCAGAGCAGATCAAAGAGGTCTTTCAGCTCAAAGCCAACGAGATGAAATATGTTGCGCAAGGCTACACAGCAACGCCAGATAAACCGAAGGAAGATTGCTGTCTCATTCCTGTTCTGCTGTAAGCTCTCTG